TATTTCTAACTCTCTATCCCTCTCCCTTCCTCTCTGTAAAAAATCAATAAGTACATTTCCAGTAGGACATGATCTCACTTATCTAGGGGAAATGGTGAACAGCATGGACTGATGAACAAGAACAGACCCAGAGATAAGGAGCCATGGGTCAGACTGTTGGATCTCAAAGGGAGGGTGGGGATAAAAGGGAGAGATCAACCAAAAGGACTTATGTGCACACAGATGAGCCTAACCAGTGGTCAAGGACAATAGGGGTGTGGGGGCATGAGTGGGGAGAGGTGGGGGATTGGAATGGGGGGTTGAGGACAAATATGTGATAACTCAATCGATAAATAAATAATATATATATTTAAAAGGATATATATATTTAAAAGTACGTGGTGTGTTTCTCATACTTCCTAGGCTGGCCTCTCACCTACTGTCTTCCCCTGCACAGCCAAGTTCACGTGATGAGAATCTTTCAGCATGATTAATCTGACCTGGCAATTCAGCTGAGAGCAAAAAGGGTACAGAGAGCAGGGCAACTTCCCACCCAGTCTGCGTTTCCAGTCAAAAACAAGTAAATGCATTTGCAAACACTGGGGATATAAGCAAAGGAATGCAAATTGACTATATAGCCTTGGGCAACAAAACAATTTTGCCTTAATGCACATTTCTTATACTAAGTGTGGAAAACCAGAAATTCCCATATATGAATAATTGATGAAAACCTGTAAGAGATTTGACTAAGACAATCTCAAACTCCTGAAAATCTCTTAAAAATTATTAAATAACTACAGAAAATCCAGTGATTAAATTTAGCAGTAAGAGTTGAATTTATTTAGCTTTGAAAAACAAACAAAAAAAGGCTAAGTGACCATTGCATCTGAAACTGGATGACTAAACAGGCTGCATTCAGACACCCCCTCCCCCAAGGGGTCCCGGATTGGAGAGGGTGCAGACTGGGCTGAGGGGACCCCCACCCTCCTCCTGCATGAATTTCGTGTACCAGACCTCTAGTTTATAAAGAAAATGAATTGCGTCCTACCCTGGCCAGTTGACTTGAGTATTATCCCATGCACTCAGGTCACTGGTTCCATTCCAGATCAAGGCACATACCTAGTTTGTGGGCTTGATCCCCAGTGAGGGGTGTGCAGTAAGCAGCCAATCAATATTACCCTCACATCAATCTCTCTCTAAAATCAGTAATAAAAACATTTTTAGCCCTAGCTGGTTTGGCTCAATAGAGCATCAGCCTGCAGACTGAAGGGTCCCAGGTTCGATTCTGGTCAAGGATACATGCATGTGTTTCAAGCTCAATCCCCAGTAGGGGGCGTGCAGGAGCCAATCAATGATTCTCTCATCATTGATTTTTCTCTCCCCCATCCACTCTGAAATCAATAAAAATGTGTTTGTGTGTGTATGTGAGGAATGATTCTGAATTATGTTTCATATTTGGCAGGGATGCAGATGGTATCTTATGCAATATGAATGGTTTTGCTTGGAAATTTTTGAGACTTGTTTTGGGTGATTACTTATTTGAAGAGGCAAGAGAACCACCAATGTTCATGTACATCAATACATGTCAGTTCTTGTGTCAGGTGTTTTACATGTTATCTTATTAATCCTCTTAATAGTCCTGCAAGATAGGTTACAGAGATTAAGTAATTTACCTAACACTGTAAAACAAGTCTGACTCCAAAGCATGTGTTCTTTCTACGGGCCACTCTGCACAATTAAATAGGGAGATATCAAATGAATTGGCTTTTCCTATTGCCAAGGTTTATTAGTTTATCTATAACCTCACTACAAATGCAGGAAGATAGTTTATCAATAGTTTTGTCCTCCCCAGAATTTGCCTATGATTAAGTATTGTGATCAGTCAGGAGGTACACATGTACTATTACAGAATACACCTTCAAAGGGGAGAAAGGAGAGTGTACGCTCTATCATTAACTAACTAGTTGTGCAACCTTAGGCAAGCTTTTAACTTTTTTGTGGACTCAGATTTTTTTATCTACAGAAATGAGGACTTTGGACTAGGTGGTGTTTAAGGCCCTAGGTGACTCCATCCATCCATCCATCCATCCATCCATCCATCCATCCATCCATCCATCCACTCATTCATTCAGTGGGATTTTTCTATATGTCAGACACTATATTATTTTCTGGGAATAGAGCAGTGAATGAATACAATGAAAATATAATGAAATTCACATTCCATAAAATTCCTGATCTTAAAATAATCCTCAACGTGCCGAGGAGCGAAAATAATCCTCAATCGCGTGGAAATACTCTTTTGAAAGTACACTACCTCCTTGACCTGCAGTCCACTCCCTGGGAAGTAAGCACTGTGGGGAGCCAGTGCTGTTGATAAACATTTGCGGGATCCTTCATATAGGCTTGGCAAAAAAAAACGTTGATAATGTCTAACATCATTGATAAAAGGCCTGTGTATGTATTATGCTCTCATGTTCTGAGAATAACAAAGTCTGAAATGTTAGTAAGTTTTAAAAAATTTATTTCCACTCCCTTCAAACCAAAAAGCTATTAACTAAAGATTATGCTATAGTCAAATAAAATTATCATAGAAATGTATATGACTTGAAAATAAAAAACACCTCTAGTTTAACTCTGTCAGTCATACAATGTTTTATTTTAAACCCGCTGTTCAAACTTTCAAATACAACTCATGTGGCAAAGAAATAGCTAACACACAGTATCTGCCACAATTCTATCTTTGAACTGCCTTTTCTGAATTATGTGATATTATAATTTCTTACATTCATGGTATTCTAAAAGGCAGCAATATCAATTTTTCTGCTTTGAAAACAGTTCATTAATGTTCTGAAATTGCTTAAAACAATTTTTTTCTCTTTAGTATTTTACGGTAGCCCACATTAGTGAAATAACTCAACATATTATTAATAAATTGTTGAGAGGTATATGGTACACAGTTAAGTCAACTCCCAACTCCAAGTTAAAATGCACTTCAATCCAAAACAAGCACTTCCCTAAATCAGTATAGTCAGCTACTTTTCTCAAAAATATTTCCATTCTGAAATAAGTTTTTTTGTGAGATACAATAGTTTCTTCTCTTATTCTGAACAGAACTCATGCTGTACTTTTTTTCTCAAAATATATTTGACATATTCTGTGCAAAATGTTAAGTTCTGAATAGCTTTGTACCTTATTTTGAAAAAGTTTATAAAATATAATTCCTAAAAACAACTTCAACATTAGACAATAGAAGAAGAAACATATCAGACAAAGCCTAATTATTCACATGAGAAAATAAGTATGTTCTTAAAGCTCCAGTAATACATTCCTTGAAAAAACTCAGAATGCACTTTGGTCATTATTAAATATATTAGAACATAGGCAAATAAAACACAATTGCTTTTGTTGTTTTCTACAGAAAGAAAATATACTACAGAGGCTGAATTGAGGCTGATCACAAGGAATGGAAAGAGCAAAGTGACATCGTGACATGGCTCTGTTCTCTACACATTCCTGATCTTAAGATGATGATTTAGGGATTAAAACTGCACCAATCAAAGAAATCATTTACACTTATTTTAAATTCCCTAAAATGTTTAAAAATGTGAAGATATTCAACATGATACATCTTGCACCAAGAAAACAGATTGTTTCAAATAAATCCTGTTTTAAAAACTAGATGCCCAGTTTTAAAAAATTGCAAATACATTACATGTTATAATTATTTCCTAAAATATTCTTGATTGTACAAATATAACAACTTAAAATCAAGGCCCAGTAAGATACTATCATATTTGCCCTATTTACCTAAGGTGCAAATACGGTAAGTTCTCATTTGGACACTTGGCAAATTATTTGGGGGGAGGGGTAGTGGGGGGTGGGTTAACTTTCCAGGTTAAAAACATCTAAAATAGCCCTTATATAATTAACTGGGTGGAGATGGGGAAGGGGAGATGTACCAGCTTAAGTTTAGAGGATAGCATTTGCAAGCTGAAGCTGTCTTTTCTGAAAATTTGGGTATACAGTACTTTTATAACTATCAATCAGGAGTATTTTATTGGTTCTTAAGTTGTTCATTTGAGTGTAGTATGAACAGCATACACTACAGTGTACCATGGGGAGAAAATTATTTTACTTGAGTAAACATACTGTACTTCAGTAACATCAATAGGCACTTCACCTGTGAGATGAGTATATACCTCACTCAAAAGGATACCATGTCATGCCCTAGTACACTATTAACATATCCCATGTAAAGATAAGCATTAAAAGTAACAATTTTAAAAAGTGCACATTTTGAGCATGCACAGTTAGAGCTGTGCTAACAGCCCAGTGTTTCAAATAAATACTATTACTAGTAAATTTTTATCAAAATATCTTACAGTATGGTAACCATTTACAATTATTGCTCTATTAAGAGTTTTATCATCAAAAAGAGCACTTTGTTGACCTGGTACATAATACTATATATATTAATACTGAAGGGTGCTTAACTGCAGCTTAATCAGTTTAGATCCTGGCACTGATCCAAAATAATGTGAGAGAAATCCTGACTGGATCTTGATTTACTGAAGAAAAAGCTTTATGGGTTTAGCTGAGGCCACCGCAATATTTCAAAGTTAAAGAAGTTTTCCTCAAGTAAGGCAAGTTCATGGCATTGATGGAGAAACAGTGCTTAGCAATGGCTTCTATTCTCACGATTTGTTGTTTTGTCAATCATGTATGATCAATTACCAGGATCTCAAGTATATGGATATCAGTTTTATCACCCTTTTCATCAACAATTAAGTACACATCAATGCTAAAAATAAAATATAAAGACTGAAATAAATGTAAAAAAAAAAAACCAACAAAAAAACAGTGAACAAGTAAAATAAATATAAGAATTGCACAAGACAGTGGGATGTAAACACTTCAGTTTCCCAGCTGAGACTCCTGAAGCAGAATCAGGGCTGCTTCCAGGCAGCTCAGTCGGTACTCTTATTCTGGAAAAGAGGCTACATCTTCTTTCCTCTGAATTGTCATGACTTGATCTTCCACAGCTGGTGAAAAATAATAGCAGTGACTATTAGAGCCAGTTTTAATATCATAATTTATTAAGTTACATCACATAACGCTATTTTTATCTAAATTTCATTCATAAGTATTTGCTTTACTTTTTAAAGCTCTTTTATCACTTTATTTTCAAGAATTCACCCTAAACATGTAAAGTGAAAATCAGGTTTCTCTTGCTTTCTTTTACAGGGAAGTGGCAATACACATATACAACTAGTTTAATATGAATAGTTTACACCTTATTCACTAACAGCTGAACATATGTTGGAGGGCGTATGCATTGCTATCCTATATAATAAAAGCCTAATATGCTAAGTGTCCAGTCATCCGTTCAACCAATCAAAGCATAATATGCTAATGATATGCTAAGGTCATTCAACCGCTAGCTATGATGTGTACTGACCACCAGGGGGCAGATGCTCTGACTGGTAGGTTAGCGTGCTGCTGGGATCCAGCCAATTGGGACTGAGCAAGAAGGGCCGAACATGCCCTGGAACCCTCCTGTGGTCCCTCCCCGGCTGGCTAACGTCCTGTGTCCCTTCCTGGACCCGATCATGCACTGGTGGGGTCCCTCGGCCTGGCTCGCATCCTCTAGCAATCGGGCCCCTTGAGGGTTGTTGGAGAGCTGGTTTTGGCTAATCCTGCAGGCCAGGCTGAGGGACCCCACCGGTGCATGAATCCCCTAGTTATAGGTAAGTAATATAACTTTAGCCCCCCAAAAGAAATAGGGCTTTCTTTTTTATCTCCTAAGTCAGATTCAGAATATATGAGTAAAAATAAATACCCCCACTTATTCTACAAAGTTCTATTTATAATGAAAACTATTCCAAACTAAAAGTTCCAACAATATTATAAACCAAGAATGCTTATTATTCTGTGAAATTATTTTTATTAATTGTATACAATATTATCAAAATGATTCCATTACTGATCTCAAAAGAGAGCTAAGGTAAAAAAAAAAAAAATGCCATTAAAATATAACAGTGCGCTAAGTAATTAAAAAAAAACCAAAAACCTGTAAATTCTTACCTTTAAATTAAATCCAAGCAAGTCACTGATAACACCAGAAACGGCTGACAGGATGACAACCTGGGTGATGTTATAAAGCAGTGGATTCATTGTAAGCCCATATAACCTAAAGGGACTGTCCAATTCCTAGAAGAAGACAAAATCATGAGCCAGATTCATTAAGAATTATCAGTTAAACTAATTCAGGGCAATATATAATGAGGATTTTTAAAAAAAGTTACAAGTTATGAATAGTTCTAGAAAGAATAAACACTTGAAATAAGTAACTATACATTAAGGTGTTTTTTTCTGATTGTTTTGTTCTTTTAAGGAGAAGGTGACTTCCTTTAAAACAACTCTATAACTGATTGATGGGGAGGGGGTGGGAGATGAGGGGAAAATGAAAGGACTAAGGAGTAGAAATTGGCAGTTACAAATAGTCACAGGGTGTAAAGTATAGTATAAGGTACACAGTCAATAATACTGTAATAACTATGTATGGTCTCAAGTGGGTACTAGATTTATCAAGGCATTGCCTCATAAGTTATATAAATACCTAATCAGACACCGGAAAACTAATATAATATTGAATGTCAAATATAACTAAAAAAAAAAAACACACACACACAAAAAAAAACACACAACACTATATAACAAAATTTGAAACTCCAACTTCTCTCCCAAATGAATGACTAGAAAAGTGTTGTCTAATAGCTAGTTTGAGAAATTTCTTAGAGTAAGAATATAAATTTAAATAATATCTTTTTGCAGAAGAATGAGAAATTTAGCCAATATTCTGCCAATATTAATACATATGCAAAAATTCCTTTGAGAAAATTAATTTTTGGATGAATGAATGAATGAATGAATGAATTGGCTTATTCAAACATTTAAAGTCCCAGGCCCTGTGCCAGGCTCTGGAAAATTAAGATTCAGTGCTTACGCTGAAGGACCTTACAGTCTAACAGACCTGCAAATAAATAATTTAACTACTACAGTTCCACAAAATAAGTATGTATAAAAGGCAGTGGGACTAAAACTTAGTGGCAGGGAGAGTAGGAATGCCATCAAGACAACTGACAACATGGCACCTTTGAATTGCTGGACGTTGCTCAGCATTGTTAGAGCCAAAGAACAAGGAAAGAATTACTTCAAATTTATAAAGCTGGCTATGTATGTGAGTCATTCTTTAGGTTGATTGTACTGACTGTCTGGCACCAAAGGAATTTAATTAGGGGAGTAACTTATCAGCTGTGCATGTGAGAAAGCTCACCAGTCAGCAAGGTGGAAGATGGATAAGAGAGTAGTGAGACCAGAAGCAGGAATACCTTAAGAGTTCAGAGTACCTAAAGCTTAAGTGAAAGATGATGAGGGTCTCACTTAGGGCAGTATTGATAGGGAAGAGGGGATGAATTGGAAGATATAGAAAAGGCTGAATCAATGTGCCAGAGAATTTCTTGGCTGTGAACAATGAGAGAGAAGAAGCAAATTTATATTAAGTCCCAGGTTTCCAACTAGAAGGCTGTATGATAAAAAAAAAAAAATCATGCTGTTGTGCATTGTATTTGTTATTTTTATATTCCTCTCTACTCTGAAAGATGGCAGCTGCTCTTAAATCTTATCTTTACAGCTTCCTCCTGTCCAGCACAGTGCCTAAACTCTGAAGACACTCAATATGTATGTATCAAACAAACCCACACATCCCTTCTGAACCCTTTCAATGCCTATATACTGTTAGGCACAGTCTACAGCAAAGTAATGCTTTTTAGTTGAGTGAAGAATTAACCATAATACTGAGGCCCAACTAATTTCATACTGTTTTCTGAACATTTATAAACAACTCTAAGAATATTTCATTTGTTATAAAAATTGAGAATTTAAAAAAGATTTTCACTAACACTGCAATGCAGTAATAAAAATATTTTATTAAATTACTTCCAAAGAGGTAATCTGAGATCAGATATACTGAAATTATATTTTTTATCATCACTAAAAATGATATAAAAATGTTTACTGGCAATATATCCTATATAATAAGACCCTAATATGCAAATCAACAGAACAGCAGAAGGACTGGTCCCTATGATGCACACTGACCACTAAGGGGCAGATGCTCAATGCAGGAGCTGCCCCCTGGTGGTCGGTTGAAGGGGAATGGCACTCAGCCAGAAGCTGGGCTCAAGGCTGGCTGGCAAGCACAGAGGTGGTGGCAGGAGCCTCTTCCACCTCCGCAGCAGGCGGACATGCACCAAGGGGTCCCAGACAGCGAGAGGGCACAGGCTGAGCTGAGGGACCCCCCTCCCTAGTGCACAGTGCCATGCACTGGGCCTCTAGCATTATGATGATTATGTATTGCCACTTTCTAAGCTAATGCACATAGGCCGAGTAGAAGATTGCTTTGAGAAATACAAAACGAAAAAAAATTTCCGAATTGACATCAAATCTCCTTTTGTGAAATCTATTTTAAGTTATAGGAGGCAAAAATTTCCAAAGATGCCAACGCCTATAATATTCTAAACAATATTAAAAGTCTTAAAATTTTAAAAAGTTATCAAAATTTCAAAATTAAATTATTTGAATTACTTTGGTTTTGCAATGGGAAAATATAAATTGTGTGATATGCTTAAATATAACTTGGAAACACGGTGGATAGTCATGACCAAATACAAGGTAGAATCTACAAAGGACTCAAATATAATGTCAAGCAGCATATTCTACATTATATCCATTTAAAATTTTATTTTTACCTTTAGCAGTTTAGTAGCCAGTTTTAAAACATTGTTCACTATTGTCAGTTCCTCTTTTTTGTTAGGTTTCTTCTCCATTTTCAAGTATAGGTTTATCTTTTATAAAAAAAAGTAAACAATTAAAAATACTTCAAAGTATAACAAATACTCATTTTTAAAAGACATTTAAAGACATTCACTAAAATATTAATGGTAGGTCTTGGTTATTGAGATTATAGGTGATAATAATATTCTTCATACTTATTGTATATCCCAAATTTCTTACAATAAACTTATAAGAAAATAATTTTTAAATATAATTAGAAGCTGCAATAAGGAAATGTAAATAAATGTCATTATTTAAAAGTTGAAACACTTTAATCCCACCGTCAAATCAACCTAAGAATATAACAACTAAAGTAAATCAACTGGATCCTCACCTGTTCAGTAAGTAATATTGAGGTATTGCTATATTTTTTACTTGTTTCTGATCCAAGAGTAACAAATCTCAGCAGAAAAAGTGTTAATGAGATACACCAGATCACCAGTTCCCAATTGTAGTGACAATCAAGGAAGATCTCATGCACATGAAGCAACTGAAAGTGTTTGAAAAAAGCAACATGAAGAAGTATTGTCATTCACACAATGTCTTAAGAAAAAAAAACAACATATTTTACCTCAAACAGATTGATCACGAATATAGTATTACATTTAAAAAAAACATTTCACATTTATTAATATTTCAAGCACCTAAAAATTTAATGTAATCAAAACCAATGGGACCTCTATCCATTTTTGTCAAATTTTAATATTTTGCAATATTTCTTTCAGATTATTGAATAAGGTAAAAGATTCGGTTGAAATCCCTTTATTCATTATTCCTTCTTCCCTATTCTTTTTGTTATCTTTTCCATGCAATTTAGAGTTCAGCTACATATATATTTCTAAACTATGTTATTTTATATATACTTTAGAATTTATAAAAATGTTATCACATTGTCCACACCATTCTTTAATTCGCTTTTTATTCCACGGAACTTTGTTTTCAAGATTTATCCATGCTGATACATGAAGCTCAAAATCATTCATTCCAGCTTCAATAATGTGAAAGAATCAAGCACAATGTACTGGTCTCTTCTCTCCATTGACATTTATTTTGTTGTCAATTTTCCTTATTACACCCAATGCTTACATTCTTTTATACATCTCTTTGTGCATATAGGTAGAGCATTCTTTACGAGTTAAAATATGGGAATAAAATTGCCGGGTCCTTGGATATTATTCATATATTTAACTTTATTTGGTATTACGAATTTGTTTCTGAACAGTTGTAGCAATTTATACTCTCAGCAGCGTTATCAGTTTCATTTGCCCAATTTTTGCCCACACTTGGTATTATCCAACTTCTTAATACCTGTCAATATGATGAGTGTAAATTGTTTTCTTACTGTTTTGGTTTTACTTTTTCTGATTTTTAGGGCGGATAAATATTTCTCATGTGCTTATTGATCATTGGATTTCCTCTTCTGTAAATTACCTTTTTCTATTCCATACCCACTTTTTCTATATTAGTTTGTCTATTTTTCTTATTGATTTCAAAAGTTTATATATTTTGAATAACAATGCCATTTAAGTCACATATTTTGCCAATATCTTTCCTTATACTCCATTTTTTTTCATTATGGTGTCTTTATAGAACTTAAAACTTTAAGGGAGGAGTGAGGGAGAAGACTATATGAAACTGCATGAGTCGACAAAATTATAAAATATTTTCTATCTGGCTCTTTGCAGAGGAAATTTGCTGCTCTCTTGCTTCTAGGACAAAAATTAAATTTTTTAGATTGATGTAATCATTTTTGGTATTCTTGATCATCTAAAATATATCACATTTTTAATAAATTGTCTATGAAGTCACTTGTTCTGTATAGATAGTAGTCATATAGTATGTGATTTTGCTTTTCTCCTTTTCAATCTTTATACCATTTATTTCTTTTTCCTGTTTTCCAATGGTGAATATCCTCAATCTTTATACCATTTATTTCTTTTTCCTGTTTTCCAATGGTGAATATCCTCTATCAAATGCTCACTAGAAGTGGCAGAGAGGTTAAACGTCTTATTTCTGTTTTTAAAATGAATACCTCTGAGGTAATAAATATTTATGTACAATGTTTGCTTCAACTTTTGAAAGATATACTTTATCAGATTAAGGACAGTTCTTTCCAGTCATTGTATTATAAATCTCCAATGAAATTTACCAATTTGTTTTCTTCATCTATTGAGATGATCAGATGTTTCTTGCTCATTTAATCAACTAAAGGAGCTGAAACTAGATTAGTGGATTTTCTAAAGTTGAAAATCTTTGCATTCCAGGAATAAGCTATGTTGGTCAGAGCATATTTATATTTATTAAACTCTGGTTTCATCTTCCTAGTATTTTTTATGTTATTAATAAGGGAAATTAACTCATGGTTTCCCACTTTCATACTGCCTTTCTGGTATTGGTATCAAGGTCATATTAACTGCAAAAAATGAATTGGGGAATATGCTGTTTTTCTATATTTGTATAGGATTAGGACTACCTATTTTACTGGAATCAAACCTGGGACCCTTCAGTGCGCAGGCCCGACGCTCTATCCACTAAGCCAAACCAGTTAGGGCAGGACTACTTGTCTATTTGAATATTTAGTAAAATTCACTGCTAAAAACAGATGCATCTGGAGGTTTTTGTTGGTGGCAGATTTTTTTAAAAAATATATTTTATTGACTTTGTACAGAGAGGAAGGGAGAGAGATAGAGAGTCAGAAACATCGATGAGAGAGAGTCATCGATCAGCTGCCTCTTGCACACCCCCTATTGGGGATATGCCCTCAATCAAGGTACATGCCCTTGACGGGAATCGAACCCGGGTCCCTTCAGTCCCCAAGCCAACGCTCTATCCATTGAGCCAAACCGGATTTGGCTGGTGGCAGATTTTTAAATCATTGAGTCAATATTGTTTTATGGTTATAGGCCTCTTCTGTTTTTCAATTCGTTTTCTTGTCAGTTAAACTGTCCACCTAAACTTTCAACTTTAATGATATAAAGTAACTTATACTAATAGTCTTTTTAAAAAATCCTCAACTCTGCCAGTATTTCAATTTAATACTTTGCTTTTTATTTTTAAACACTTGTTATTTATGTTTTAAATTTTCCAAATTTATGAGGTCTTTTGTTGCTGTCACTGTTTTTTAACTGCATTACAGCTAGATCAATTGAAAATTACTTTGTAGCCTAGAAAATGGGAGTTTTATAACTGTTCTTATGCCTGAAAAGAATATGTATTCTCCAATTTTAGAATAAAATTCTGACTATCTTGTTTAGACACGTATTTTCACTATATTTTTTTTTGTCCGCTTAACCTAGCAGCTACTAAAAGAAATGTGTTGAAACCTCTCAATGTGGTATTTTGCTATAGACTTTGGTTATATATAGATATATTTAAAGTTATATGATCACATGCATATAATTAGTCTTCTTAATGAATTACTTTTTAAATTTTTCTCAAGCTTCTTGGATTACAGTCTATTTCATTTGATATTAATGAAAATTGCCAGCTTCCTCTTGGCTAGTGTTTGCCTATAGTATCTTTTACATTCAAAAACCTTCAATGTTATTATGTTTCATGGCTTTTGTTGTTAGCAATAAATAGACTTTATGTGTTTTTGAGAGACAGAAGAATTATAAGATGTACTTCAGAAACATGGAAATTAAACCCTGAAGAAAAGACTGAGGTGTAATTAGAAATTTTGAGTAGAAATTAGAAATCAAGTCATTTTCCTTTGGTTGCTCTTAAGATTTTTCTTTGTGTTTTTGGTGTTCTGCAGTTTCTCCACAATGTGTCTAAGAGTGGTATAAAAAAGTAACATCTTTCATAAATTCAGAAAAACTCCTAGCCATTCTCTCTCCAAATATTGCTCTCCCTCTTCTTTCCATCTGCAATTTGTTAGATGTATGTTGAATATCCTGTCTCAATCGCTTTTTCATATATCAACCTGTTGAACGCTGTCTTATATTCTGGGCAATTTTTTCTCCTTCTCCCAGTTCACTATCTTTAGCTGTTTTCAATCTGCTATTTTTTCTGTTTTTAATATCAATGCCATATTTTTCATTTCTCTGAAGTACTGTTTGGTTCTCTTTTAAAGCAATCTCTTTTTTTGTAGTGTTAACCTATGTCTTTAATCATTTTAAGCAAGCTAACCTTATAGTTTCTATCTGCTCAGTCTATTGTCTGAAGTAGCTGGAGATCTATTCCTGCTGTTTATTGATCTGTTGATGCACTCATATTCTATTGTTTCTTCACGTGTTTTGAAACCTGAAGAGGCTTTATCTGTGAAAATCTTGTGAGTCTTAAGTTGAAGTCACATATCCCAGAACAGTCTTGGTTATGCATCCACTAGGTATCCAAGAGCTTACAACCACCTTTTATAAAACTTTTTGACACAGGAGGTTACAGGACAAGACCTGTAATGTACATTTGAACCCTGAACCTACAGTTCTTAGGAGAGACTTTTCCCCAACTACTTGCCAGAGTGTAGGGAAAGTTAGAGAAGAGATTCCTTATCGTCTTCCTGTGCTGCAGGGCAGACTGCTTTTCTTATTCCATCTTTTCATGCAGACTACGGGCCTTTGAGGGTTTTGGCTTTTGTATAAGTATGTGTAAGAATGTGTGCATGCAGGTCGAGGCCTCATCTTCTGTCCTCATGTGGGCATAAAATCTCAAGTCTCAAGGATACTAAGACTGCCAATGTACCTCACTTTCTTATCCTAGGGCTGCCATACATTAACACGGATACTGAACTGCTCTGTTGTTCAATGATCTCTTTATTTTGGTCCCTTACTGTCTTATAAACTCAGACATATAAAAGGTTGGATTTTATTTTTTCAGCATCATGTGATGCTTTAAAGCAGAATTTTCAGGTGGTCTTTTACTTGAAATAGAAGTTTAAACTTTATAGCACAAAATATATCCTGAGATACTCCTGTTTGCTGATTAATCTTGGTCAACAAGAATTCTTTCACAGAGCATGAGGCAGTCAAGCCACAGTAACAATTAAGGTATAAAATAAATGCTAAATGTGAGTAAAGCAGAGATCCATGAAAACAGTATGAAACAACTGATAACTATAGTCACTCATAAGTTTGTTTTGGGAAATAAACAGGTGAATTAAAGGCAAAAAACTAATTATCATGTGTCCAATCAATACACATCTGAGAATATGCTAGCCACCAGTGTGACACAGAAATGAATAACTTCCAAATATTTCATTTACTTATTCTACTGAAAAAAATAATAAACTGCAAGAAACCAATTTCAAAATTGTACGACTAGGTTTACTTATATTATTACTTTCATTCTTTTTTATTAGAAAACATTTGAAGCTGAATATTTATAGGTCTGATTATCTAGGTTTTACACAGAAGAAGTTAACTCACCTGAGCACAACAAATAAATACAACTGAGATAGTCAACAAGAAAGCAGAGGAAACTATTACATCAACTGATCGCTGAGGACCTCGACGCTGGGGAGGAAAAGGGAAAACACTTTTAAATACAGTCACTAGTTAGCAGTCAATTTCATGCTTTCAATTAAGGTGCTTATCCATCACTATAAGTTGATCATCCTATATAATAAAAGGCTAATACACAAATTTTCCCCTCGACTGGGAGTTTGACCAGGGGGCGGGGCGGGCTGACCAGCCCTGCCCCTGTGTCTGTCCGTCTGTCCGCCTTCACACCAGCCTCACCCCTGATCTGTCAGCCAACCTCCTCATCAGCTCCCCCAGGCTGGTTGAACACCACTTGTGCATGAATTCATGCACCAGGCATCTAGTAACTTATAATATTGAAAATATACCTAATTCGCTAGGTGAATTTTTATTAAAGTGTTACTATTTTCTAAGGATTTGCAACACAGTGCAAATGATGAATATACAGCCTAGAATTCTAAGCATAACTTCCAAACATTTCATTTTTTCAAACACTATTCATTCAACAAATGTTTCTTCAGCACCTGCTCAGAATGAAGTACTGTGCTAGGGGGTAGAAATACAGCAGAGAACAAAACAGACATACTCCCTACCTTCATTAATAGGGTGTCAGGCATCAATGTCAAAAGCATAGATATATGTGTAAGTTGTGATAAGTGCTATGAAGGAAAGGTATAGGATGCGTTGAGAAAATTGGTGGTAAGTTTTATGTAAATATCACTTCCTTAGAGAGTTCTTTCCAGGCCCACCCGCCTAACCCCCAAATATAAGATCGTGTGGGTCTTGGAAGATTTCCCTGAGGGAGTGATATTTATACCAAACTAAAATGGCACATGACAATGGTTTGGTGGAAGGAAGAGCACAGATCAGGAATGATCATAGTGCATTCAAAGAACTGAAGCAGTTTACAATGGCTGGAATGTAGGAAGAAAGAAAGTGAGACTATTGGCAAGAGCTGGGATCATGAAAGGCATTATACGCCCTGAAGATTTTATTTTTTTATCCTAAGAACAATGGAGAATTTCAAAAAATTTTTAAGTATATGGTCAAATCTACATTTTTAAAAAGAGATCTCTGTTGGCAGAGTGAAGTATTAGAAGGAGGAAATCTGACTGCTGGAAGGCTAGTTAAGAGACAACTCCAGTAGCCCAAATTGTTTTCAATTAAGGTAATGGAAAAGGAATCAAATATAAGTAAATTAACTCAAGATATATTTTGGAAGTAGAATGGTGGAAATTGGTGATAAACTGGAAGTTGGAAATGCAAGAGAAGAAAGAAAACTTCAAAGATAACTCATAGATCTGGGGTTAAATGCCACTGAAGTGTAAACTCAGAAGGGTAAAGAACTTCATTTCATGGGTAGTGGATGGCACATGGTTAACATCCTATCTAATAAAAGAGTAATATGCAAATTGACCATCACTCCAACACACAAGATGGCTGCCCCCATAAGGACACAAGATGGCTGCCACAGATGGCCAGCAGGGGAGGACAGTTGGGAGGCACCAGGCCTGCAAGGGAGGGCAGTTGGGAGTGATCAAGCCTGCAGGGGAAAGCAGTTGGGGTGACCAGGCCTGCAGGGGAGCAGTTTGGCATCAGTCAGGCTGGCAGGAGAATAGGTAGAGGGTGATCAGGATGGCAGGCAGAAGTGGTTAGGGGCAATCAGGAAGACAGGCAGGCGAGCAGTTGGGAGCCAGCAGTCCTGGATTGTGAGAGGGATGTCTGACTGCCAGTTTAGGTTAGGCCTGATAGATGGGCAGTCAGACATCCCTCTCAGGGTCCCATATTGGAGAGGGTGGAGGCTAGGCTGAGGGACACACCCCTGTGCACAAATTTTATGCACCGGGCCTCTAGTTAAATAAATATTTGCTGAATAAAGTAATCAATGTAGAAAAGAATGTAATATCTATATAACATTGATAAAGAAGGGAAATTTTGTGTGGCTTCTCACTAAGCCATGCAACAAAGACATATTCATCCTCTGTACCACAGAAATGTCACAGTGACAAAAAATAATCTTCGCCAATTGGAAACATTTTCCAATGGAGATTAAGTTAGTTGAATTTATCAAGTTAAATAAGCAATATGAATATTTTAAAAAGAAATGAATATTTTAAAGAGAAACTAGATAAAAAGTGCGAAAATTTTTTCTTTTATTGTTGCTTAAAAAAAAAGTGTTATGGGGGAAATAAGGGACATACATAATACTTTTAACAATAAAGATTTTTCAAAAAGAGAACAAAATAAGAAGCATTAAAGATCTAGATATGTTAGAGGATATTTGGTCTTTAGGTAACTCCATATATAATGAAATTCATTGCTATTTAATGCAACAAAGAAATAATCCTTAGTGTCTTTCTAACATTAATTCAGATATTTCCCATTTCTCTGTGTTTTTTATCTACTTCCATAAGTAGAAAGGTTATTTAACAAGATTAAAGAAAAGAACAGCATGAAAAGAATGGCTTTTATAGAATTATAAGCTAGTATTTTTAAATAGCAATAGGCCACTTCACAGAGGTGATCCTGATTACAGATATTTTAGAAACTCTTTTCTAAGCAGTGGGCTCCCTCTACTGGCTTGTGACAACCATTTTAGGTAGAAACAAAATCTTTAATCTCGTTTTTGAATGAGAAGTTGGTGAAATTTATGAACAAAGATAAATTAAGGACAACTTGATCTTTAATCATCTACCTCAAATACATTTAAGCCTTTTAGACTTCAGGTGTTTTACTATAAAGAACCAGTTAAATATTTATTTTGGATTTCTGCATATGGTGTATAAAGAACACATAGCACTATGTAAGTACTTGTGTGAGTACACATTAAGACATACCTACATATTGACAAAGAAAAGGGAATTTTTGTTTTAAGAGTATTTTTGTCACTACCATTCTACCTTAAGATAGGACCGAAGAGATAGCCACATTTTTATATTTTGTACTTTCTTCAACCGGAAATGAGGAACCTCAGATTTTCGAGCCCTCCTTGCCGATGTTAAATGTCCAAAAAGCTTTGCAAAAAGTAAGCGCTAAAAAAGACAAAAGGCAAGCATTAATTTTCCAGTATATTACCACGAAAAAACAAAAATCAACAAAATATCGACTGCTAGAATTTTATTTAGTTAAATACTATAAAAACAAAATGAGAAAAGAATTAGCAGCTCAGAATGATTTAATGAGATACTAAAATACTTCAAGAATACTTTGAATATTAGGGGAAAGATAAAATGTTCTCTATTCAGAAATCTACTGTATACTCACCTGTTTATAAGTTCTTTCTGCTACACAGAGCAAAAAAAAGAAAATCCACACAAGAGACACACGAACCACAAAACTTATAAAAACCATAGAAAGAACTATGATATCTTCATTAGAACCGAATGCAATTGCGTAAAGTTCAGAAGCCGAATGTGTAGTGAGTTGTTCCAAGTCTGTAGCTTGGGAGAGTCGGAAAACAAATGGAGTTAAACCCAGGATTAGAGAGATTGCATTTCCAAAAATCTGGTATCCTATTCCTGGTATATGGCTATTCACCTTTATAAGAGAAAAAAGAAAAAGAAAAAAAAAACAAACTTATACAAATTTTACCTACAGTAAAATCTATTTCTATTAGCATAATTTTATTTATAGCAATATGAGTTTCTTAAAATGTATTAGTTTTACTACATGAATAATAAAAATTAAATTTACTCTAAGTTGAAAAGTCTATAATGTGTAAAAAGTAAATCGTTATTTCTTCAGTTTTCAAAAATAGTTCATTATCAGATCCCTAATTCACTAAGTAGATGCAAAGAGGATTAACTATCTTGGTCTTACCTAGATCTTTAAAAAAATTCTATGTATCTCATAATTTCAAAAGTTAGAAATAGCCAAATACTGCAGTATTAAAAAGAATGAGATCTCACATCAACTTAAATTTAGTTCATTAAAGATAAAAAAAATCTAGAATTATATTTAATTATTCAATAAATTTGTGATTTGTGTTTTCTTCCAAGAGCTCAATATACAAATGGATGTATCTTTATATTCTAAAACCATTTAGAAGAGAGAAAATGTTAGAGGGGGGACAATTAAATACTTAAGAAAAGGGAAAAGATGGTAAGGGAAAAGATGGTAGGGTAATTATAAAAAAGGAAACTAAAATTTAAATAATGGAAAATATAAGAATGGTAGAACTGGGAGAAACCTTAAATATCACCTAGCTAACTTTTTATCATTCTATAACCTGCTAGCTCACAGATAGTTAAGATATAGAACAATAACTAGCGACTCCTTGCCAATAACTTTCCATTGCTCACACTGAGACATGGAAGAGGAAGATCAATTTCTATACCCAGTTATTTTAATTCCTGTCCGACATGAAGTGTGTAAAACAGTTCTAGCATAACAATATACAAGAAATTAGAACTGCAAGTTAAATCATGACTAGATGTTCAGAAGAATCGGGTAAAACTTTAAAGGAGCTATGATCTGATTTTTTTAAAAAGTAACATTAAAATTAAAATCCATAGTATTCTCATCTAACTCTACTTCCAGCTACTCAAGATGTTTACACCTAGCTGCATTACTTCTATACATTTAATTAGGCAAGGAAGTATCAACACAAATCTTCTGTTTGAATTATTTAATGTTCTGGGTACTAATAAATAAATGAGCAAAGGGGGGTGATAAAGAAAAATATTCATCAAAACTATATATATCTAGCAGCTCTTCAATTTGATCCATTGAAAGCAAAAGAAAGAATAATATAAAAGAAGAAAATTTTAGATTGTATCTATTCTTGGTTGCAAGAATGAAAACAAAAAGAGATGAGTGATATCACTTTAAATCAATGACGAAGGAAATACAAATAACTTTTTTTCAGGTTGAAGAGTGAGGTGAGTAGGTTATAAATATAACATTCCAGTAATTAATACTAGGGCCTCATGCAGATTCATGCACCAGTGGGGTCCCTCGGCCTGGCCTGCACCCTCTTGCAATTTAGGACCCCTCAGGGGATGTCAGAGAGCCAGTTTCAGCCCTATCCCTTCAGGCCAGGCAGAGGGACCCCACCAGTGCACGATTGGGGCCAGGGAGAGACAGCAGGAAGGCTCCAAGGCTGGCCCATATCAACCATCCCAATTGGGGCTGATTGGGGCTGGCCAGGGAGGGATTGCGGGAGGACTTCAGGGTGGGTGGGCTTCAGGGCGTGTCTGGCCAGTCTCACCCAGTCCTGATCGACCAGACCCCAACAGCAAGCTAACCTGCTGGTTGGAGCATCTGCCACCTGGTGGTCAGTGCACATCACAGCGACTGGTCGAACAGTTGAACGGTTGGACACTTAGCATATTAGGCTTTTATTATAATAGAATATTAATAATCACTGTTTTATCTTTGAACTAAAAGAATAAAATTTTAAAACTTACTCTGTTCATGATCATCCCACTGATTTCAAGTACAGACATATCTGCTTTCTTACAGTCATTGCCTTCCCATACTATAGCACTTATTTTTTCTAATCCTGGGTGGGAACTGTGGAGCCAGGGCAAATGACTCTATAAAAAAATAAAAAGAAATTGGTAAATACGGTTATCCCATTTCATAAATAAGACACATATACACATAAATATACACACACACACATACATATATATACATATATATACACACATATATATATACATATACACACACACACATATATATACATATATATATACTTATATATATATATATTATAAAAGGCCTGTGGCCCTAACGCTGTAACGACCAAAGACCAGCTTGGGTGGGCGAGGCTGTGAGCCAGCGAGGCAAATTTATATGAACATCCACATTGAATAAGTGTTTTTTCTTCACATTCTTGTCAACATTGAAATTGATCAATTAAAAATTTTTAGACAATTTGATCAATATGAAATTGTATCTCATTGTTCTACTTTACATTTCCCTAATTACTAATAAGGCTGACCAATTTTACTTATTATATATTAGCCATCTAGGTGAGTTGCTTGCTCACATCCTTTGCCCATTTTTTCTACTGGGTTGTATACCTTTTACCTATTCATCTGTTAAAAGTTCTTTGTGTGTTCTGTACAGTAACACTTTGAGTTATTATGTTGGAAATATCTTCTAGCTTGAGCTTGTCTTTAAACAATATTTATGTCTTAATTTGTAGCCCAAAGTTTTACATTTTAAGATATTCAAATTTGTCAATGCTCTTTTGTTTGAGAGAGAGAAAGAGAGAGAGAGAGCGCGAGCAAGTGGGAGAAACATCGAACAGTTGCCTCCCCTAAGGGCCCTGACCCAGAATCGAACCCACAATCCTTTGATGTACAGGACGGCAGTCCAACCAACAGAGCCACACTGGCCAGGACAATCCCCTATTTTTAGATGTTTGCTTGTGCTTTTTGTATCTCGTTTAAAAAATCCTTCTCATAATTGAAGAAACAAAGGATTTTCTCCTATAATTTCTTTTAAGTATTTTAAAGTTTTGCTTTTTCACACTTAGGAACTATCTGGAATACATTTTTATGTATGGATAATCACTTGATCCACAAGCACATACTAAGTAATCTATGCTTTTCCACTGATTTGGAATACCACTTATGCCATGTATTAGGGATCCATATAAGCGTATGTCTACTTTTGAGTTTTCTATTCTGACCCATTGGTCTATTATTCTGTTTCGGGCTGCTTTAACAAGATAGATTGGATGGCGTAGAAACAGAAATCTATTTCTCATAATTCTAGAGGCTACAAAGTCCAAAATCAAGGTGCCAACAGACTCAATGTCTGGTGAGATTCCCACTTTCTGGTTTAGAGAACGCCCTCTTTTTAAGGGCACTAATGATAATCATGAGAGCTCCCTCATGCCTAATTACCTCCCAGAGGCCCACCTCCAAATGCGATCATATTTTGGTGGGACACTTTCAGTCTATAGCATATACCTATACCATACTACCTTAATTACTATATTTAAAAAAATACATTTTTATATCCAATATGGAAAGTTCCTATAGTTCTTCAAAACTGCTTCTGCTATGATGTTTTGTTCTTTAATGTGAACTTTAAATTCTGTCTTAGACTCTAAGTCCAACTGAAAACAGAGACATACAAACATACTGTATAATTTTAATAGAAAAAGCAGTGCGATGGACACCTCTTGTTCCTGCTTTTAATAAAAATGCTCCTAAAATTTCAACATTAAAGGTTCTTTGATAGCTACCTTTTATCAGATTAAGGAAGTTCCCTTCTACCTCTAGTTTACTTGTTGGTTTCATTGTTAGGATTTCATGAGGACTTGGATAAGAGAGAGAAGAAAGTAAGAACAGTGAGGATTTTAAATGACTAACCAGATTCTGGACAGTGAACAGATGAATGAATATGTCATTCACCAAGATTTTGAATGCCATAAGAAAAATAAATTTATGAGGGAAGGTGGTGTATTTGGTTAAAGCTGAGGCAATGGTGTAACATTCAAATGAAGATGTCCCATAGACCTGTGTTGTCCAATATAGTACACCCTACTCACATGTGGCTACTGGGCACCTGAAATGTGACTGGTCCAAATCAGATGTACTGTAATAGGTTTTGAAGACATTTTGTATTAAAAATATACACTGAGTGGCCAGATTATGATGATCTCTAAACACATAATAATTTGGCCACTCAGTGTATTTGTATCTCAAATGGGTACCAAAAGTATTCTAGACTTTTGCTGGACATCAACCACTTATTTGCCCTGAGCTTTCTCTAAGCCAGTGCAAAGGGGAAAACTGATCAGGTGCACAATTTATAGTATCTTTGATATCAAGTAAATGAGGTGCTCAAGAGAAGTACACTGAGTGGCCAGATTATTATGCGTTCAGAGATCATAATAATCTGGCCACTCAGTGTATATTATTTCATTATTTTTCATATTAGTTATATGTTGAAGTCATATTTTGAATATAGAGTAAAAGAAAAGATACTAAAATTAATTTCACCTTTAAAAAAATTTTAATGCAGCTACCAGAAATTTTTAAATTACATAGGTGACTCTCATTATATTTCTATTCAACAGCACTATTATAAGCACTTGGAGATACAAATCTGATATTTATGAAATATAGCTCCATGAATTACAATCTTACACTGGAGTTAAAATCACAGGTATAAATAAATCTGACCATGAAGTCTGTTGAGTGAGAAAAACACTATTGCATTTAAAACACAAGTTGACTTATAAAAATCCATTTACCAACAACTTTTCAGAAACATATGTGTGCAAGGTCAGAAACATAACCATAACATAAATGATGAGATTCTATGTTCCAATGAATCCAGACTACTGCTCACATTAAAAAAAATTATTTTTTACCAGAATATTTTAATTAAATGTAAGCTCTTTCTTCACCTCTGTAAAATTTGTACATTCAAGGGAGAAAAGCCTGTAGAAACCAACAGTGGCTTAAATTATCTACTACTAGAAATTAAAATCATCCTAGAGACTTAAGGGACAAATTAGCCCATGACAACTGGAAACCGACCTGGTGAAAAGGATCATCTCTATATTCTTTTTTCACACATGGATTAACTTGAGGATTTTCCACATCGGTCTCACTGGTACAAGATGATCGGCATTCTGCACAGTGTAACAAGTCTTCCCATAATACATCTTCTGTTTCAGATTCTGGCCTTGTGCTCTCAGAATCCTGTCTGGAACTTGAACAGCGAGAGCTGCAACTAGTACCCGATTTGGGGGCATCCTGAAATCAAGATATTCTTTGACATTAATACAATTTATGTACCCTTTCCAATTCAAAGGATTCTATTAGAACCACATATTGTTACTTTTTGCTAAAACAATAAACACACTGTCAAATAACAGTGAAACAGCGAAATATTAAAAATACATATTAATTTTTAAGGAGTAACAAAATTTCCTCATATCAAAACTTATTTCACATTTCAGCTCAAGAGTTATTTTGCAAACAAAGATTATGACTTCTTTCTCTTTGTATTTATTTATTGTCTAAAGTTTTATATATGCCCCCGCCCTTGACATCCCTTCACCAATGACTTCTTTATCTTAAACTTTATACAACGTTGAAACTTCAGGCAGGCAAAGACTAGTCTACAATCACATGGACTGCATAGTCACCCACTTTAATTGATGGTTTAATGGAGTTTTCTTATTATACTTAGTCTATTTTAGCAACAATTGATTTAATGTATCTATTGTCTTAGTTTCTCCAAACAACAAGTTCAATAAATTGATAAAATGAATAAATAATCATAAATTATTTCAAACACATGAATGGCTACAAAGTGCCAATTCATGTGTTTGAGATATTATAATCTGATATGAAAGTGAAAAACTAAAAGGAAGAAGTTATTAAATAATTCCTAATAAATTTACTATTTTCTTAGTAAGTAAATAACATACAAAATAGTTTTGAGTAAAATTTTAATTTAAGTAAATTCAAAATAATTTTTACTGAGTAAAGAATAACAGCCATCCTTATAGCAAAGTGTGATGAAATTTTTAGATTTGATTTTAGTTATCCTGGCACTAAGATTTAATTCTACCTTTAAAATGTTTTATATTTATTTATTTTTCTATGCTACCACCAAATATCATTCATTCTTTGTTTGCTATAAGAGCCTCCTAATTGACCCCTACCCAAAAGGCCTTCCCTCTTTCCAGGTTAATCTTCCAAAAGTACAACTGTTTTTTCACTCCTCTGACCAAAATCCTTCTGTGGCTTCCCACTGCTGTTCTCCTGGATAAACTTCAAATTCCGTTACCTACCACGCTCTCTTCAAAGGGCTATTTTTGGACCTTGTTTTCCATTTCTCAGGACACAGCCTTCTCTTGCAGTGACAATGGGCTATTCCTTAACTCCTAAATACAATTTGTTCGTGGCCACTCCAGCCTCTTAGTATATTCCCACCTCTCATTATAAATCCTTCTCTCCTTTAGGGCCCACTCAGCAAAGTGTCAGGAAATTACCATCTCTACCCCTTTCCAGCTGGCTTACCTTAGAGACTATAAGGACAAATCAGCCCACGACAATGGGAAATAAAACTACCTACCTTAAAGAGATATTAAAAGTTAAATGAGCCCTATAGTTTTTAATACAAACCTGTACAAAGTAGAGGTTCAACAAATGTTAGTTTAAACTCTTCTATTTAGAGTGAATACTTTGTCCCTGAAATGAGTTATTTTATTTGACAATAAATTTTGTCTTGATATCTAGCATCTACATTATCTGTGTTAAATGTTCATGTATTTCATATATATTCAAATAAATCATAACTCTCAAGTATACTGTAAGTCTACCAAAGACAAAAACCATCTTTACCACAGGTAACGTAATATCTTGAATGAGTGAGTTATATTATTGATAATTAACTTGTGTATATTAGAATGGGGCATCATGGATATTTAGTGTGTGATAGAGCATTTGTAGCAGGGTTGTTTGAGAGAAAAGTAAAAAAAAAAAAAAAAAAAAAAAAAATTTTTTTTTAAAAGAATTAAATAGAAAAACAAATAAAAAAATAAAAAGAGAAAATAAAATTACAGAAAAAGGGTAAAAATCAGTCTGCTTTTTTTTTTTTTACTCCAAAAATATTTCAGATTCACCGTCAAGAAGAATACTTGAAACATAAGTAGTTTTCATCATAACAATTTTCATTAGGTAACAAGGACAATAAGCAACCAGTAATTAATTGCTAATTTAAATTTTTTTCATAAAACTAGCTTATTATCTATCACTAATTCTGATGCAGACTTGCTGTTCAGATATAGAAAAAAGTCTCAGATTAAAGGGCAAATGTTTAACTGAAACTAATGGGTGATTTCCAGGAATAAGGAAATACCTATAATTCCTGATAAAAGTATTTTGTCAAATACTGATTAATAAATAGGACATTTTATAAATGCATAATATAAAAATTATTGCCTAGAATTGCTTATATTTCAAACACTATTTTATCTGCAATATTTAAGTGATCAATGGCCACTGAATTTCATTACAAATTGCTGATTACAGACTAAAAATAGGTAATTTTAGAATTGAGGAAAAACAGCTCAACTTAATAGCTCATTTAATTTGATTCACTCTGCTTATTTCAAATCTTTAGATAGCTAAAACAGCATATAGTCAAATGAAGAAGAGAGGATTATTTATTTAAAAGGAATAAGCATTTATAATATGAATGCTTTGTATCAAGCAATTATACATAATCTTATTTAACCCTAACAATCTGATGAGGCTGTTCTCCTTCTCTCCCCCCCAGATTATACAGGCAGAAACTGAGACTCAGAGAAGTTAAATACTTTTTCCAAAGTCATTTAAATAGTTTGATTCCAAGCCCATAGTTTCTGCATTGTACTTTCCATCAAATGCATTTATTAAATGGAATAAATTATGAGAATCTTATCTACAATAAGAAAGAAAAATTAAAAGATACTTGTAGAGTTAACAAAGCAGGACAGAGAAGAAAATAAGTCAAATGCTTAAACAAAGCTATCAATTCCCCAGGAAACCTTCTACATTCCAGATAATCAAGTAATCCATCATCTTCCCAACAGGTGACTGAAAGCAGCCCACTAGATATAGTATATCACAGAAAACGGTAAAAAAGTGGGTTGAGGGTGGGAAGTGGGGGAGTATGGAAAGGGGTTAAGTTCACACTGAATGACAGATCACCACCACATTCCCAACCTTTTTGGTACCAATACCATGGCAGCCTAATCTAGTATCGGCCCTCCAATGGACCAAAGACTGGATAACTTTTCTTGAAAACAAAATGCCCCTGAGGAGAATCAAGTTGGTGGCATAGGTAAACATGGGTACTTGATGCCTTCCATAACATCAAAATTACAACTAAAATATAGAACCACCATCATTCAGAACCACCTGAAATCTGGCTGAATTGAAGTCCTACAATTAGAGATGTACAGAAAATACATTGAAACTGGTAGAAGGGGTGGAGGCATAGAACCACACCTATGTGTGGTGTGTTTTTCAATTGGGAGGAATATCTCCACTGTGGAGGCCTCCTTTGAGAAGCAATTAATTAATTTGCCTTGAAGGGAGATAATAAAATGTTCTTAGTTCTTTAGAATAAAAACTAAAAATACAGTTGAAATTCTTTTACTATATAAAGAGCTTCAAGAGATGTGATAACTTCGAGAGATGTGATAAATTAGAAAAGGGTTTAGAAAAAAAACAAACATTAATAAAGAAAAACAAAAAAAAATCAGAAAAAAAAGATTGAATTTAATAGTACGGGCAACTTAATAACTGATGACAAGAACATAAACAAAGTCACTTAAAATAATAACTTTGAAATATTCAATTAGTCATAAAGACATTCAAATTGTGGGAAAGACTAACCCAGGAGTTCACAGATTGTCTCTCCAGGATGGACTTCTTTAAAGGTAAACAATGAAATGAATGTATGAATCTTCAGAGAAAATATACAAAATGAGTAAAAATGCATGGCTACTTATCATATATGCAACACATAAATCTAAAACTGCTACTCTATAAATCCAGAATATATAACAATAAGATATTGATACTGAGGGGAAATATGTTCTTTTAATAATTATTGTTAATTGTTAAAAGAAGTTGTAAATAAGTAACATATAAAAAAAAAAGGTATGGCCCTAGCCGGTTTAGCTCAGTGGACAGAGTGTCGGCCTGCAGATTGAAGGGTCCCAGGTTTAATTCTGGCCAAGGGCACATGCTCAAATTGCGAGCTCAATTCCCAGTAGGGGGCGTACAGGGAGCAGCCGATCAATGATTTTCTATCATCACTGATGTTTCTCTCTCCCTCTCTTTCTCTCTCCCCCTTCCTTTCTGAAATCAATATATATATATATATATATATATATATATATATATATATATATATAATTTTTTTTTTAAAAGATATGTATGTACCGGTATACATGTAAAGCCAAAGTATATACCTCATTAGGGTAATGTTTCTTATAATGGTGTGACTTTCTATTCCGAAGAATGCTCTCAGAAGTCCTGTCCACATTACGGCGTAATGGGTATCCCGTTTCAGGTCCTTCTTCACTGGAGACTTCATCAGAAACATTTGTTATTGTCCTTTGGGTATCCTAAAATGGGAGTACACAAAGAGGATTATGGTAATTTCTAACCTAATTTGCAGTTTTGAAAGTGCAAAACTTTCAATTATATATACATATGCACATATAGCTTTAAATACTTTCAAACCCCTGAAAGTGACTTGTGCTACTTAGTTTTCTGAAAAAAATATCTTAAATCAGTGACTATCCTGGCACTTGAATGTTAAGAGTATTTCCACAGTCATTTGTCAAATTGTTCTATGTTTTCTGTTCCACAAAAAAGATTTGAAATAGCTTACAAAATTAAAAAATATAAAATAGCATAAAAGAAGCTGAGAGACCTGAGATGAATTATACTATTTTCACAAACTAAAAATGTGATCAATTATAAGACCACCACTGAGTAAATAATGGCTTATGAGGCAGCAGGAGGTGACTAGCAGTTGAATAGGTGCATATATCAGACATTATCTACATATAAATTTGTAAGACACATCCAGATTTCACTGTGCTTTCTTCACCTCTCTAGTTGTGGAACTTCCACTCAGTCACCTTTCCCGAAATTCTGGGTGGTAATTGTTCTGCCTTTTAGATGTGGTTGTATAGAGGCAGCAAGTATATGTGTGTTTACCTATGACACCATCTTGGTTCTCTCAAGAATTGTTTTTTATAACTAACAACAAATGTGCTGACACCAATGCTAATAAAGGTAGGAAAACAAGGTAGTATTTTCTTATGGAAAACATGAATGGAAAATCAGGTTTCTAGTTTAGTTTCTAGAATAATTTAATGTTCAGTTTAAAACAAATTCTTATATACATGGAAATGGGGCAAGTAAAGCTAAGGTTTAATAAGAATCAACTATGAAATTATTCAAGTGCTTTAACATTTTGAAAATATTTGAGTCATTAATCAATTCAAGAAGGCAATAATTGTATTGACAATGAAGTTTATTCATATTACTTTGACTAATTATCAGCTTCAACAGTATGATTTTTAAAGGCTCAGAGAATAAATTCGGGAGAAAAAAATATAGTTAAAAAAATATAGTCCATTAGCTAATGCAAAACCACACAAGCAAATTATTTTTTAAAAATCACACTTACTTTACTGGGAATGTTCCTCAGTGTTCCCTTGTTCCAGGTTGTCTCTTCTGATCGAATAGTTTCACATTGAGGTTCATGGCTTTGTATTCCACCTTCACTGGTTTTAACAGTCTTTTTCCCATCAAGGGATACATAGCCATTGTCAGTCTCAGTTGATTTATCAATTGAATTCTTTGTTTTCTTTGATCTAAAAAAAAAAATTCAGAAGCATGTTAAATGGACTTACCTTATTTTGGATAGTTACTGATAGAAATTATGATCTGTTAATAATAAAATCCGGTAGTTACTTCTCAAAATTTTAATGCCCACCTCATTTTTACAACAAATAATTTAGAAATATAGTATCCATCATATAAAATAAAAGTGTATATTAGTGTCATAGTTCAGCTTATTTTATAGGTTCTAGGTCTTACAAATAATAATTCTAAGAGACATGGCTTAGCTTATCAAACAATTCTTGGTCAAAATTACCTGGTCTTTGAGCAAAATCTAGGATAAAAACTTTGTCCATTTTATTACGATGAATAATGTTTTTAAAGTTTTATTTTTAAAAAATATATCAGTAATTATCAGGTTAAGTTGCAGTTAGTGGTTTAAATCAGTTTTAACATTCTCACTTACCCAAATATTTTCCTATTAGTATATACATATAAATATCTTGGATAAATTTATCTTAATACACAATGGAGATATAGAACCTTTGTTTTGTAAATATATATAAAAAAGGAAAAACTTTATATAAGGTTTTAAATAATGAAAGAAGTAGAAATAAAGAACACAAAATAATAAAGAAGAAACCTCTTTCACCCACTGAAATATCCTGAAAAAATATCAGTAACCGTGTAGCTACAACTGAGGTTCTTTATTTAGGAATTAAAATTTTCTCAGTATGTAAGATATGATATAGAAAATAATAAACAAGACATTTTTGATTAATAGGCAAATGCCTGAAGAGTCTCTAGTGGGTGAAATAATCGCTATCTAAAGGTAATGGTTAGTAGAAATATAATGTAAGTCTGACACAAAATTAGAATGTGTTCAGTGTAGATTAACTTTATCATAGAACATTATTAAAAGCAATTATATTTAATTACATTTAAATAACCCCCCTTGAATTTTCTCCAGAGTATCACTTTTGCAAGAAAGAAACTAATATATTGCCTTCACGTGGGTCAACAACAAGTTTTTTTAATGCACCAAAAAAAAAATATTTTTGACACTACAGTTACTCAGTGTTATTGGAACTCTCCTATTTGAAATGGTAAATTTGGAAATAAGAAATCAGAAGTATAAAAAAGTCTAAATGATTTATTTAAGGGGCAAACATAGCACTAGATTATAGACCTTCTAACTATGAGGCTACTTTAATTCTCCATATTACTTACAACAACACTCTTTGGGAAACTTCCTGTTAGGATTTCTTGTTAACACACTCATCAAAGCCTAGAAAGTTTTGTCTTATACAAACAAGCCCCTTTCCTTCCTGATCTTCTCCTGACAGATTAGTGAAAGGGAAAGACAGACCATACTTCTCTTTTGCTCTACAGAGTTCCAAGGCTTTCTCCCCAATTTGTCATGAGTGGGGGGCCAATAGGGTTATAAGATCACATATGTAATATCTTAATAAAGAAAAAAATCCAATAAAAGGTTAATTTCTTTTCACTGCCTGTTTGTAATAATATTGTGAATCTTAGACATGAAAGAAAACTTAGGATATATCTGAATTCTGAAACAGGCATTATACTGAAGAGATTTACAACCTAGATGTAATTCTTTCTATTCAGTATTTTGAGTAGAAATTTTAATTATGCTAATTTAACACTATAGTACAGTGAAATTATAGTACTAAATCCTTAGGAAATATGGTTGATTTCTACTTTTTTTTCCATTTCTTTATTAATGTATTACATATGTGTCCTTATTTTCCCATTACTCCCCCCAATCTCCACCGCCCCCATTTATACCCTCACCCCCCTGGTGTCTGTGTCCACTGGTTAGGCTTATATGCATGCATTCATGTTCTTTGGTTGATCTCTCCTCCTTACCCCCACCCTCCCTACCTTCCCTCTGAGGTTTGACGGTCTGATCAACGTTTTTCTGTCCTTGGATCTGTTTTTGTTCATCAGTTTATGTTGTTCATTATATTCCATAAATGAGTGAGATCATGTGATATTTATCTTTCTCTGACTGGCTTATTTTACTTAGCATAATGCTCTCTGTTCCATCCATGCTGTTGCAAATGGTAATTGATACTTTCTTTAGCATTGTTTTCTTAGTTCATGGAGTTCTTTTATAATAATCCCCCCCCCCCCTTTTTAAATGAGAAATACTATGTATGCTTTGCTTTAAAAAGAATTATTTTATCTTGAGAAGAAATATACTTAGAGATGATGAATAGGGCCTTTCCAACTTATAAATACAGGGTGTAAGAATTGTAGATTTCATCCTAACATCTAGAAAACCAAGATACCATACACAAAATTTAAATCCTTGAGGGGTTATGCATTTATTTTCCCATCAGTTACGTTAATTCAGACACCTTAATGGAAGTATCCAGTTTTTCAATTTTTTATCACCAGAAACAATTTTAAGTCCCAAGTTGATATTTCAGTTTAAGCCCTTTCTGAAGTATTAAAGCCAAAGAACAAAACATCAAGATTTCAAAACTCAAGATCAGAACTTCTAAAATTAACATTTTTCTTAAGGTCTTCTTGTACTTAATATTTAAAAATCTTATTTATAAGCTGACAAAACAGTCTCAGAACGAGTTAGTTGAAAACAGTGCATTTTAAAAAACATGTAGATTATAATTGCCACGATTACAAAGAATAAACCCAAAGGGTTTTAGTCATTATTATACCAATGACTAGTAGTCAAGGTTATGCTACAGTCCCAAAGGAGGGAAATTGAAGTCTGAATCTAATTTGAGAAACACAGTAGAATTCCAAAGGCACCAATGTACTACATTAGGTGGATTCTGAATACTAAGTTATAAAATATCAGGTCTGGACAACCAAAACAACTAAATGGTTCCCCCAAAATAGGTCATATCCATATGCTTTTTTATAATTGCTTATTAAAAGTTCTTGAGAAATGTTTAAGATACTGGCTTTAGAGTGATAAAACCATTACATCTTACTGTTAGAAAGGAGAGCTATTTATTTAAAAATAAATAAATAAAAACAGACTAAAAGATACAGACAGAATCCAATGCAAGTTAAAAACCAAACCCAGGGCGGAGCTTGAAGATGGCGACCGAACAGTCGGACCTATTCTGACTCTGGTCCCAGAACGGATAAAGGGGGCTTCTGAGTCGCTCAGGGAGAGTTGATTGGCAGCTAAGGGACAGCGGAGCTCTCAAGGAGGGTAAGGGAGAGTCCGCTGGACAGGATTTCCTGACCAAGTGGCCAGGACGGCCGCGGCAGCAGCAGCAGCAGCAGCAGCAGCGGCGGGGGCAGCGGAGGCAGCGTGCGGTGGGCTGCGGGCGTGGAGTAAGGGCTGCATTGTCCTGCCAGGAAGGAAAAAGCTTCTCTGAGGCGTGGAAAACGCACAGCCCGGAGGTCCATCGAGCAGCTGAGACTCCCAGAGCTGCGCAGACACGTGGATTCCGGGGAGATCTTCAGTCACCCACGGAAAGGTCAGAGTTTGCGGGGATAGCCTAAGGGATCTGGGTTCCGCGGCGGCGAGCTCCGGCCCCGCCTCCACTACGGCAGCCGGGGAGCTCCGGCCCGCCTCTGCAACGGTAGCCGGGGAGCTCCAGCCCTGCCTCCACTGTAGACGGGTGCGCGAACTACAGCCCGCGGAGGCGGAGCGGAGCCCAGAGAAGGCTACAGCGACACCTAGTGCTGGGTTTGAAGTAATCCCCCCCAGAAGAGGGGCTTTTTTAAAACGCCAGGGGACAAGGGACAGTGTGTTAAGAATAGCGGCTGTCCCGCCAAGGGCGGAACATCTGGACACCTTGGCACCGGTTCCCATTCATCCCCTTGCTTCTGAATACTAGAGAAGAACTGCCCAGTTGGGCATAGCCGGGGAAATTGTAGGGGGAATTTGCCTTCTGGAAACAAGGGATTGGAGCCAGAAGACATAGTCCTGGAGCCAGCTAGAGCCATAGAGAAAGAAGGCCAGAGCAACCAAAAAGACTGGGAGGTCAAACCGGAAACACTGACACCTAAGAGCCGAATTACAAACTGCCTTTTTTTTTTTTTCTTTTTCTTTTTTTTTTTTTTTTTTTTTTTTTTTTTTTTCTCTTTTTTCTTTTTATTAATCAAAAATAAACGGACACAAATAACTAAGATATAACCTGCTTAAAATTAAGGTTTACCTTACAAAACTCAGGTGCAGTGGAATGCTGGGGACTGCAAGACTGTCTGGTCTGAGAATCAGGAGTGCCAAATACATTAACAGAGGAAGTGAATGACCACTACTGGACATTTTTATGCTAATTTTACTATTCTTTATTTTATTTTCATTTTTTACATCTTTTATTTAATTTTCACTTTTTATAGCATTTACTTAAGAAAAATTTTTTCTATTTTTTTCCTTACTTCATTTTACCTTTTCAATTATTACATTTTTCAATCTTTATCATCACTATTACTACTGCTATTTTGCAATTTTTGTTTCTTTCCTTTTTTTTTTTTTTTTTGTTCTTTGTTTTTTCTTGTTTGTTTGTTTGTCTGTTTGTTTCCTCTCCAGTACCATTTTATTTTATTTTTTTTTCTGTATTTTACATTGGGAATAACCTCCATTCTATTTTAATCACTACTTTAGCATCATTCAACCCTATCTCAACTTGACCTTTACACCATCACTCTCTTACTAAACTTTACCCTTTTAGTCAACGGTTTATCCTATCCCTTTCCAGCTCTAGATTTTCCTATATTCTTTCTGTATACCCCTTGCTAAAGCTCTCACTATACGTATAGACCTAAGTTCCAACCCCTGATCCAAGTGTATAAATACCAATTTCTGTACTATATTAACTAGTTAAAAAAAAACAAAAACTGTTCTCCCCTCTATCCTTTGCGCATTGTTTGTGTGAGGGTTGATTATTGTGAATTTTTATGCTTTTTAGTGAAATGGTTATGCTTATTCCTGTGTTGTTATTGTTGCATTGTATTTTTTTTTTAAATCCTCTGTTTTTGTTTGTTTCTATTACTTCTGTATATCATAGACTTACTTAATAAT